GATAGTTACAAGCATGGCCAATCTTAAGCACAAGGAAAATGGTCAGATGGACTTGATCGCTCAGGCTCAGCTTTTAGCTCTATTGGGAGCAGTAGGTTTAGCATTCAAAAAACCCTTTACCCTCTACTCTAATAGTTGCTCTCACGCTGACTTGTTACCTGAAGAGGAGGTGGCAGTACAGGATGATCCATCTCCTGAGGAATCAGATCAGAATGTACATGATTTTAACAACAAATTCATCAAAGATGAAGGATGTCATAGCTACCTTTTTAATGACGTTTTACGCTCCTGCTTAGTTTTGAATCTGCTCATACTAAGGTATCCAGTATGAGGTTCACTTGCTGGTAGAGACTGTTCTGTATGGGCACTTGCATCACCCAGAGAATATTTTTACTTCTCCAAGACACTTCGCCCAGTGGTATCCTATTAAGGAAACTATCCTACATAGGTGGGCAATTCCTGTGGTAGACCCTCTCGGTCTAAGTGGAGGATAATCCCATGTTCAAAGACCAGGTGGACAAGAGTTTACAGGTCCCTCTTTAAATCTCTCCTTTATGTGGCAGGCCCTCCCATGCAACCTGCGTTTACATCTATGGCAGTCGGCCAGGCCATTGTTGTCTAGACTAAGAGCATGGCCTGAAATTCTAGTAACATCCTGACTGATGTCCATATTCACAGTCAGTTAAAACCTTTTTTCTTTTGGCCTTAAGCTACTGTGTGAATGGCTTAGCAGATACACTTTTTACCAGATCTTCGGGGTGCGTCTTCCCTCTATCCACAATTGGACCCTTCAATAAACACATTACATGGAGATCACAGGGGGTAAAAGTACTCTCCTCCATAAAAAGATGGCTCATGCCTCTACCCATAGGACATCTACTTCAGAGGTTGGTAAGGTTTTATCTCTCCCAGTCTACCAGTGCTATGTCTAAGATGGGAGCTTTGCCTCATAAAAAGACATTGCTCTCCAAACCAGCCAAGACTGGTTCCAAGATCTCTTCCCATTGATGGGATGCCCCCACTTCTAAAAGTCTGTTGGCCTTCTTGTCCCAGAAAATCTCAGACTGGAGAACACTAGAGTTTCGCACTCTGCATGCTACCCGCTTCATGCTTTCAAATTTGTCACCTTCTCCATCACGGCAGGTCGCTGACAAACTACTCTTGTCTCAAGGGGTCATTACCCCATACCAACGGAAGGATGATTTCAAGGTTTCTATTCAAACCTTTTTACAGTTACAAACAGAATGGAGGAGTCTGATCGTTCTAGATCTGAAGACTCAATTTTGATTATTGGTCATAGCCTACCTCCTTCTGGGGGATTTTCTGACCTCTATAAATATCAGGGGGTGCTTACTTACATATTACAATCCTTCCATCTCATTAATGCTATCTGCGCTTTGCTGTGATCAGTTAGCATTACCAGTTTTTCACCCTTCCTTTTGGCCTGTCCACTCCTCTCCAGGGTTTTAAACAAGGTGCTTCCCCTGGCTTTTGCTCTGCACCACATTTAAGAGATTTATGTTGTGTGGTAACTGGACAATCTCTTGTTAAAGGATCAGTCCTTCCAGATCCTGTTGGCCAACATGCAACAGAAATTGCAGACTCTGCAGAGCCTTGGTTTTATCCTCTTTGTCTCAGGATATCATCACATAACCTCAGTCTCAGGATATCACAGAACCTATCTCATGGATTGGAGTACCTCCGCCTAACGCCCTCTGCAATATCTTCCTGCCTTGGGACAAACATCCATCACTTTGCTTTCATGCTATAAGAAGCCCTCGTGTCTGCAAGTGAGAGTCTTGGTTCTAATGGTTGCCTCCTTACATTGCTGGTCAGTGGAAAATTTCCCGCTCTACGGGTAGCTAAAAGGTCATTGTTATCTGAGAATAAGAACATTTTTACGGTATCAGGAGCCTTCCACAACTCCCCCTCTCCTAATTTCCTCTCCACCAGTGCTTTCAGTTGTTGCTGGGTCTCCCTTTCTTCTAGGGAGCCTGAGACCATGGTAAGCTGTCCCAACATTTAGAGCAGGAGGCGCATGGGGAAAATTTGTTCCCTGATCTACATCTGTGGCCAAACGTTTTGAGAATGACACAAATTAATTTTCACAAATTCTGCTGCCTCAGTTTTTATGATGGCAATTTGCATATACTTCAGAATGTTATAAAGAGTGATCAGATGAATCTCAATTCATTGCAAAGTCCCTCTCTGCCGTGAAAATGAACTTCATTCCAAAAAAAAATTTCCACTGCATTTCAGCCCTGCCACAAAAGGACCAGCTAACATCATGTCAGTGATTCTCTCATTAACACAGGTGTCAATGTTGACGTGGACAAAGCTGAAGATCACTCTGTCATGCTGTTTGAGTTAGAGTAACAGACTGGAAGCTTTAAAAGGAGGGTGATGCTTGAAATCATTGTTCTTCATCTGTTAACCATGGTTACGCAGTTATTGCTGTACACAAAAAGGGATTCACAGGCAAGGATATTGCTGCTACTAAGATTGCACCTAAATCAACCATTTATTGGATCATCAGGAACTTCAGGGATAGAGGTTTAATTTTTGTGAAGAAGGCTTCAGGGCGCCCAAGAAAGCCCAGCAAGTGCCAGGACCGTCTCCTAAAGTTGATTCAGCTGCGTGATCGGGGCACCACCAGTGCAGAGGTTGCTCGGGAATGGCATCATCTGCACGCACAGTGAGGCGAAGACGTTTGGTGGATGGCCTGGTGTCAAGAAGGGCAGCAAAGAAGCCACTTCTCTCCAGGAAACGCATCGGGTACAGACTGATTTTCTGCAAAAGGTACAGGGATTGGACTGCTGAGGACTGGGGTAAATTCATTCTCTCTGATTGTTTGGGGCATTCGGAGAAAAACTTGTCCGGAGAAGAAAAAGGTGAGCACTACCATCAGTCCTGTGTCATGCCACCAGTAAAGCATGTAAACTTCTCCCAACCATCCAAGAACAGTTTGGTGACGAACAATGCCTTTTCCAGCATGATGGAACATCTTGCCATAAGGCAAAAATGATAACTAAGTGGCTTGGGAAACAAAACATCGAAATTTTGGGTCCATGGCCAGGAAACTCCCCAGACCTTAATCCCATTGAAAAAGTGTGATCAATTTTCAAGGGGCGGGTGAACAAATTAAAAACAAATTTTTACAAATTCTAAGCATTGATTATGCAAGAATGGGCTGCCATCGGTCAGGATGTGGCCCAGAAATGGATTGACAGCATGCCAGGGCGAATTGCAGAGGTCTTGAAAAAGAAGGGTCAACACTGCAAATATTGACTCGTTGCATAGACTTCATGTAATTGTCAATTAAATTCTTTGACACTTATGAAATGCTTGTAATTATATTTCACTATACCATAGTAACGTCTGACAAAAAGATCTAAAAACACTGTAGCAGCGGACTTTGTGAAAAAAATAATATGTGTCATTCTCAAAACTTTTGACCACATGTTGAGAGCTACTGTAGCTGGGGAAGCAGCTAACTTGCTACTTGGTTAGGTGCAGTGGAAAGCAGGAGAGGCATTGGTGGTCTAGCTGTTCTCAGATGTTTCCATAAAGAGGACCTGTCACCTGCCCATTCTAACACACAGAGGGCTTGTTATCCCCCTTTTTATAGCAATAAAGTTAAATTAAAAAAGGATTAAAAAGTATAGTAAAATAAAAATGTAAAGGCATCCAATTTGCCTCTCGTTCACACCCAGATGTGTGCGTAGGCCACACAGGTGTGTCTAAACATATATTTCTCCACACTTTTGAGGCAACTCTATTAATGTTGGCGTGAGAGCAATAATTTTAAAGCCATAATTTACAGTGAACTCTCAAGCTAACCTCTAAAGGTTTTTAAAGCATTGACTATTTAAATTTTGGGCACTATCATTTTTTGCAATTTTTATTATTATTATTATTATTATTATTACACTTTTAAATGCTTTACATGTTTGCCATTTATTTATTCAACACAGCCTCATCTTTTATATGTTACCAAAAGTTGGGTTTTATATTGTGTCTATTTGTACTGAAATTTATTTTAGTGTTCTTTTCTCTGAAAATAAGTGTTTGATAAACAGTTGCACAAATATCATGCAATATAAAAATTGCAGCTGCTACCATTATATTCTGCAGGGACCCTGCTTTATTAAAAAATATATACAATTTTTAGGTTGTTTAAAAGAATTTTTAGCAAAAAAAAAAAAAAAATGCAGATTTCAACACGTTTTGTATAAAATGTAAAACTTACCGATCAAAAAGTAGTTAAAGGTAAGGTGGCTGCAGCATTATAAGAGCTCAGTTCTTTGTAAGTCATGTTAAAATCGTGAGTTTTTCAGCTTTTTTTAGCGTTTTTGCATTAGCGTTTAGCCGCGATTAGCAGCGTTTTTACATGTTTGCGGTTTTTAGAGGTTATTTTATACCCAAAAAAACCCTAATTTTTTTGGACAAAAAAGTCCAAAAGCGCCAGTTTGTGGCGTTTTTACCACGTTTTTCAGCATTAGAGCGTTTTTACAGCTAAAAAACTCCTCTGGAAACCCACTAGTCCTGGGTTTTTTTTTTTTTTTTTTTTTTTTTCAGCCAAAAAACATCCCAGCCAAAAAATGTTGATTACAGCCTGTGTGCATGGACACATAGGATAACATGCTGGGGGGTTTACTGGCTGTAGAAAAAAACCTCAAAAGCCAAAAACAGCAGCTGTAAAAAGTCAAGTGTGCATGAGGGCTGACACTCACTTAGCTCCACTTCAAGTTTTTTCTTCATTGCATCTTTTATTAAAGTACTGCTTTTCTTCTTAAACACAGCAGTGAAGCATAGGCTGAAACTTCCCAGTTTTAAAGAAACTATGCTCTGTTTGATCTAATACAGGTTTATTAAAAACAGACATACCTGTTTCTATAGTGTTTCAAAGCAAAGCAGTAGAATTGAGCATTGCTTACTTATGGTGTATAGACTAATCATTGAGTTAAAAAGAGATACTAAGCTGGTACTATCTTCTGCAGGTCTGGATGGGAATTTGAAGGAGCCACAATTGTTTATTGCCCCTCCAGAAAAACATCTGAACTGGTAACCTCAGAATTGTATAAGCAGGGTATTTCATGTGGCACTTACCATGCTGGCATGGGGATCAAGGCAAGAAGGGAAGTGCACCATCGCTTCATGAGAGATGAAATACAGGTAAGAGTGCAGGTCTAGTATAACATAATTACTCTTGGGAGTTGTCCATATGTGCAAAGATTTTCAAACTTTTTTTAAGCTTAGGAGTTTATTATGTACTTCCTTGCAATTATCCTCTGTCCTGCACTTGCTGTTGCTTACACAAATCTATACTATATAAAAAGAGTGAAAAATCCATCAGCTGCTACAGCTCAATGGAGTTTTGGAAATTCCATCATACGTTATGTGTGTACTTTGCTATGGTCACTTTCCAAGGTGTGATGAAAGGAAGGACTCTTTTTATATGAGAAATGCGTATGCCACATATGAGGTGTGAGGTTTATTGGCTAATGCACAAAACACTGCTTGTGCAGAGGTTAAAGAGAAAAGCACAGTGATCAAAGACTTTTGTGCTGGTTTGATGTAAATTGTATTAAAGACAATAGATTGCATGCATCTGTGACAATACTGTGTACACTGACCAAGTTGTATATTTCCAATTGGAAGGAATAGTGTCTGTCTAAATATTGCAGGGTGAAGCCTGTAGAAATTCGATTACCTGTCACCTCTATGACATTAGAAGTGAAAACAAGATTTTGTACATGCAGGAGACAAAATATACAGTCCCTGGTGGACAAGTAGGGGTTAAAGGTGCTTGGAAAAGGTCTGCTTATTGATACACTTTAAGGGTTTTACTGGTTGAATGTAGGGATACCCCAAATCTATGAGTTGTTTTTTTAAAAACAGATCTGGCTGTTTTATGGTATGAGAAATAAATGTGTGGTTTACTTTTTCTATATAAACGCAATTGTTTCAAACATTAGTGTTTGTGAGTGTAATAAATTCCATGATTTAATATTGTTTTTCATTTAGTTAGTTACAGTCAAAGTAAGGCTCCATGCACTCTAGCGGTTTTTTTTTTAAAATTCACAAAACGCTAGATAAAACACAGCGGTAATAATAGCGGTTTTCTAGTAGCATTTAGAAGCGTTTAGGAACCCTATTTAGCTTCTAGGAGCAGAAAACAAAAATGCTATTAACAGATTCTAGGAGCTTAAAAAACCCTAGTGTACATGGAGCCTTAAAGACCATATATCTTGTTCTATGGGATGTAATGATTGTGTAATAAATAACCATTATTTTCTGTTAGTGTGTTGTTGCCACTGTAGCTTTTGGTATGGGGATCAATAAGCCGGACATTCGCCAAGTTATACACTATGGAGCTCCTAAAGAAATGGAATCCTATTATCAGGAAATTGGAAGAGCTGGAAGAGATGGGCTGCCAAGCAGTTGTCATGTTCTGTGGGCTCTCACAGACATGAATTTTAACAGGTAAATATATGATCTGCTAAGGCAGTAGTCAGGAGAAAATTTTGTCTGGGTAGAAAAAATTATTTTTATTTGGCAGGGTTGGAAAAGCTTTGACAGACATTCAAGTGTATGGCCTGGTCCTTGGATGTAAGAAGCACAGGGATTGATTTGAAAGCTAACACAGTTTACCGTACCTGCACTTCAGTGCTGCTATTATCACTTTAGACCTGGTCAGGTTCACTACACAGAAACCATGCTAAAGCTGAACACCAGAGTCCCTCTACACTGCAAGGGTTAAATAGGCAGTATTCTCACCTTACCCTCGCTTATGCAGACTTCCTACTCTCCCTGCAACTGGTCTCCTGAAGCCACTTTTTCTTCCTGCCCTGTGGGTCACAGGCACTCTAGGGTAATGTACAGTGCAGGACCAGTAGGAGGTAAAATTGCTTCCTTCTCATATACAGTCGGGTCCATAAATATTGGGACATCGACACAATTCTAGCATTTTTGGCTCTATACACCACCACAATGGATTTGAAATGAAACGAACAAGATGAGATTTAACTGCAGACTGTCAGCTTTAATTTAATGCAAACTGTTGTAATTCCTACACCGTTCACCTGATTTGGATGTAAATACCCTCAAATTAAAGCTGACAGACTGCAGTTAAAGCACATTTTGTTCGTTTCATTTCAAATCCATTGTGGTGGTGTATAGAGCCAAAAATGTTAGAATTGTGTCGATGTCCCAATATTTATGGACCTGACTGTATTAGGGATACAGGATGTCTTTAACTTTTGGGTTATACTGCTGCCTACAGAATGATTGGACACTGGCAAACACAAAGCTGTAGCCAGCTCAGGGTAACCCCTCTCACTACCAGCATGCCTCCGTTTTGTAGCAAAGCTGTAATAAGAGCATAATCATAAACACAGAGGACCTTTGTATCTAAATGGACTTCAAGAAAAAGATTTTACAGTGAGTACAAAAATTGTATATCTTTATCATACAGTACTGGACTTGAATTCATAGACAATAGGTTGTATGCAGGCTACCTTCAAGTGATTGGCAACTGGTAAAAAAAAAACTTGCTAGGGCTGCCCCTAGTTCACACTCATTTAACCCTGCCCACTCTATAAGACTCCAGTTTTTGTTAGTGTTCGTAGGTGATTGACCTGTTCTTCCCTGGAGACGTATTTTTCTTTTTAAACTGTTAATTGTTTTTCTTCTAAAATTTTCACCAGATCTGAGTGCTTATTGTCCTGAACTATCTAGCAGTTTCAGATCACTACCCCTCAGGGACCATACCCATACCCCCTTTATCAGTCTTTGTTTGCTTTGCACACTGAATCCTGCATTAGGCACTTACCTTGGCATGAAGTGCAGTGCGTGTAGTTAGCCACAGAGTACTATACAGGCCCATTTCTGTGGTTCCAGAAACCCTGAAGACCCCTTTGGAGGTATGCCCATCATAACATCTTAAGCAAAGCCTGTACCCCACCCCAAGTATGCCCAGCATTGTAGTTGAGTTAAAACAGGACTTCCCTGTATGTTGATACCTGTTCCTGGCTTTTAACAAGATCCACAGGGCATAGCAGGCAATGCGTAATAGGCAGAGGAATGGGGAGCCATACACTTTAATGTGTTGCCCCCTAATATATTTTTGTAACGATTCTTGGCACAAGCAATTTAATAGTAGCAGTTTTTTTCCCCTCCTATTTTATGAGTAATCTCAGGAGGATGAGGTAGCTAAGTCATACCGCCCAGGTGATACTTTCCCACTCACCCTTTCTGCTGAAACACATACCGTTCTGCATTGCCATTCACACAGCCATAGGAACACTGTCAGCACCTGGGTTGTAGCAGCTCCTATATGCAGATTCCCAAAACCTCATCCAGTCAACACTTCATTCCAGTGAGTACCCCACTACGGATCCAACAACTGCTGATGGCCTAGAGGAAGCACAGAACATGCTTAGGGTGAAAGCTGTTCCTTTGTAGCAGAGCAGTGTCTTGTTAGGGCTGTCTGACAAAAAGATTTCTCTGCCACTATGTCTGAATTCTTCAGAAAACCTTTGGCACGTCTAGAACCTCCAGTATCCAGAGGCCAGAAATGCTACACTTTCTCTGTTCTCCCTGACACTGTTCCGGAATCAGAAGCAGGACTTCCATTACTTTATGATGTTATGAAAGAAAGTATTGAGGACTCTGATTCTGTAGCAGGGAACACCGAGGATTTTCCTTCCCCTGCATGTCATGATCCTCAAGCTATGGCTTTATGTCAAATATCCTCTACTGATGCAGTGTGCGCCAGTCTTTGGCTAGCAGCACCTGAATCTCCACATCCAAAGCAAGCCCCTATGAGGCAGGCAAAGTCAAGATAGACTTTTACCATACATGCACAGATTGATTGGGGACTGGCACAATCCTAAAAGGGTATTCATTCCTAATGTTTTTGGTAAAATTGATCCTATGGAAAGGTATTTTAAGAATAAATGGAACTTGCAATTTCATTTCTCAAGAAACACCTTACAGTTCCTATTGAGGATGTTTCTCTTGTTAAGGATTCTGTTAGATTCTGTTGTTGCATTTGGAAACCCTATTAAAACACTTGCTAGCCCTGCCCTGTAGCCAGCAATTGCTGCCATGTCCATTTGGTAGACTATTGCTGACTGGACAAAATAGATGAATAGAGGCCAGAAATTGGTCTTTGAGTACCTTGCCCTCTTAGAACAATTGCAGCTGATGCTTTATTGTTTTGCGTTGATGCCTTAAAGAATCTAATTGGCCAAGTCTGTCGAATGTTCTGTATCTCTGTTGTGGCAGTGTAGTATCCTGCCACGGTGGAAATCACGGTGGTGACCCAGGATTCTTAACCATACAAGTCGAGGGGCTCCAGGCAGTTCTCATAATGCAGAGGAAACTGGTTTATCAGTTTCCTCTTTGGTTTGTAAAGCCTGTTTTGGGACCTGTAGCCTGAAGATTTCTAAGAGATTTGGGAGGGATGAAATCTCCAATCCTGGGTCCATGTTTTGAGAGCAGCCAGCGTGCTGATTGCACAGGTGTGTGCAGGCCTTTTTGTGGAGGCCAGGCCATGATTCTGGGCTCCACCCTGGCAGACAGGAGGTCTCTGCCTTGGAGTCAGGAGGGCTTCACCAAGGAGAGGTGGAAGCCAGACTAGCTGTGTGCTAATGGCCAGCTGTGTGTGTGAGAGCCATATTTTTGAAAGAGTCTGCAGGAGATGGACATAAGCCTGAAGTGGAAGGCCAGAGGAAAATTGTGTGTACAAGCCAGGAGGCTGAATATTTGGTTGATGGTGGATACCCCATGCATGGGAAGCTTTATGGAACTTTTTCTTTAAATAAAAGTGGGCTAAAAAGGCCTTAAAAAGAAAGCCAGTTGCTGTGTGTTTTAAAAAAGCTCTACCATTTGAAGCGAGTTCCCACACTGTGCATATGTGCAGGAGTTTGTGCCTAAAAGCTTGGTCTGTTGAACCTGCTTGTAAAAAGTGCCTTCTACACATGCCTTTTGATGGTAAATGCCTATTTAGGGGATCCCTTGATAAATTAATCAAGGAAGTCACGGAGTCAAAGATGCTGCTACCCTACAGTAAGAAGCCAAAGTCTCCTACTCCTAGAGCTACTACTTCTGCTCAATGAATGGGGTGTTTTTGCTCTCCCCAGGCATAAATCTCAAAACCAAGACTTATTTTCATTGGATCTGAGACGTTCCAGACATCAGGGTACAATCTGTCATTTCAAAAGGGATACAAAATTGAATTCCTGTCTCTGCCACCTCCTTTCTACTTACCCTCTAATCTGTTAGTGTTAGCTCAAAAACAAGCAGAATTACTAGCCACCTTGCACCAGCTTCATTCACAAAGAGTGTTTGTAGCAGTTTCCTAAATAGGTTCTGAGGTTTTTTTTTGTTTTGTTTTGTTTTGTTTTTTTCAAACCTATTCACAGTCCTCAAAACAAATTGTGGCATCTGCCCCATATTGGACTTACAATCTTTAAACAATTTTGTGTACCACAATTCTCTATGCAATCAGTAATTTCTTGTCTCAGATAAATGTACACATCAATTTCTTCCCTCTATATCAATGCTTTCTGCATTTTGTAGTAATTGCTTGTTTCAGACAAATCTACACATACAGTTAGGTCCATATATATTTGGACACAGGAATAATTTTAGTTTTTTTCAGCTATATAACAAAACGTTGTCAGGCTATAGTTATATAATGGATATGGGCTGAAAGTGCACACTCTCATGTTTAATTTCAGGGTATGTACATCCGAATTGGAGAAAGGGTTTAGGAATTAAAGCCCTTAAGAGTAGCCACCCCCCCTTTTTCAAGGGGCCAAAAGTAATTGGACAATTGAATATAATCATAAATAAAATGTTCGTTGTTAATATTTTGTTGAGAATCCTTTACTGGCAATGACTGCCTGAGGTCTAGAACCCATTGAAATTGCCAAAGACTGGGTTTCCTCCTTTCTGATGCTTTGCCAGGCTCTAACGTCAGTTGTCTTCAGTTGTTCTTTGTTTGTGGGTCTTTCTGCCATTGCAAAATATTCCACTTCTTTTCCTTCAAAAGCTCCTGGGTTGCTTTTGCAGTGTGTTTTGGATCATTGTCCATCTGTACTGTGAAGCGCTGTCCAATCAACTTTGCTGCATTTGTCCGAATTTGGGCTGCCAGTATACCTGTAAACACTGCAGAATTCATATGGCTGCTTCTGTTTTCTGTCACATCATTAATAAACACCAATGACCCAATGCCACTGGAAGCCATGCATGCCCATGCCATCACACTGCCTCCACCAAGTTTTACTGATGACATTGTGTGCTTCGGATCATGAGCTGTTCCAAGCCTTCTCCGCACTTTTTTCTTCCCGTCATTCTGGTTCAGATTAATCTTAGTTTCATCCATCCAAAGAATGCTTTTCCAGAACTGGTCTGGCTTTTTTAGATGTTTTTTGGCAAAGTCTAATCTGGCTTTTCTATTCAGGATTATGAATGGT